AGGGAACATAGAATGAACTTTTCCACCAACCTAAATGTGTAGTATTTTTAACTTTCAAAACCTTTTATTTATCATCATCATTTTTGTTGTTACTATTATTATCATCATCATCATCGTGTGTGTGTGTGTGTGTGTGTGTGTGTGTGTGTGTGTGTGTGTGTGTGTAGGTCAGTGGACAGTTTTGTAGAGTTGATTCTCCCCTTCAACATTTATGTGGGTTCCAGAAATTGAACTCAAGAGTCTTCGGCTTGTATGACTGGGCTACCGATCACCCTTAGCTGCTGAGTCATCTGACTGGGCCCCAGGAAGTACTTTTAACTTGGTAAAAGTTCTGAAGAAATTGTTCTGGTTTTTGAGATTCAGATCTTCAGAAACTGTTATTTTGAAGCTCTTGACCATTGATCGGAACCTTTAGTTTCTCATTGTGTCAGAGAGACTCTCCTAAAGGAAAGACAGTAGCCATCTGAGGTCAGATCAGCTGGCTTATTCTTCCTGGTGTGTGTGGCTGCTGCCTTTATTCTATCAGCCCAAATGAATCATGGCTAGACCCGATGCCAGCGGAGATAAAGATGTGTCATCCTTATTAGTGTCTAGGAAACCATGGCAACAGGTAGAGCTCATCATCCTCTCATAGGAAGGGAGCAATGTCTGGGATTAATAGTAAGGTCTGCCTCAGCACCACTCACGCTGGAGCACTCTAAAAAAAAAAAGTTATTATTCTATGAGTATGAGCATTTTGTCTCCGTGTATGTATGTACACCATGTGTGTGCCTGGTGTCCGAGGATCAGAAGAGGGTGTTGGATCTCCTGGGGCTGGAGTTGCAGGTGGTTGTGAGCAGCCATGTTGGAGCTGGGAACTTTGAACCTGGGTTCTCTGCAAGAGCACCAAGCGCTGTGAACCACTGAGCCAGGTCTCTAGCCCCAAGCACTTTTGTAAGACATATGCGTGATTCAAAGAACAGTAGTAAATGCTTGCTAAACCCATGAAGCTTAAGCTACAGAAGTGGTACCCATGAAGGGCCCCCGTGCTTTTATACATTCCTCAAACAAAACCATTCTCTTGAATCTTGTCATGGAGCCAACCATTGCAGCCCAGTCTTTCTCTCTAGTCTTTTTTTGTCTTTTCATTTTACACAGGGTTTCTTCAGGGTAAGTGCTGAGGGTGGAATTCTAGGGTTGTAGGGTGTCTGCTGCTTCCGTTTTAGTAGGTCATGCCAGGTTGTCTTCCACTGCAAATCACCATTCCTGCTTTGACTAGTTGTGTGTGTATTCACACTGTTTACATACTAGTTTATAGGCAGATTTTTGTCTTACCAGCCAGCTCTCAAATGACCACACGGAGACTTATTGTTAATTGTAAATACTTGGCCAATAGCTTAGTCTTGTTACTAACTAGTTCTTACAACTTGAATTAACCTATTTTCATCAATTTACTTGCTGCTGCATGGCTCATAACTTGTTACCTCATTGTGTACACTTCCTGCTTCCTCTGTGTCCGGCTGGCGATTCTGCCCTTCATCTTCCCAGCATTCTCTCTGTCTGGCTTTCCCGTCTATACAACCTCCTCCCTAGCTATTGGCCATTTAACTCTTTATTAAACCAATGAGAGCAGCACATCTTCACAGTGAACAAAAAGATTGTTTCACAACACTAGTTTATATTCACATTTGGTCTCCAGGGTAGATCATATTATTGAATGTATTAGAAAATGCTTCTCACACTTGATTGTGTATGCAAATCACCAGGGATATCAGGAAAAGTTTAACTTCTGACTCACATCCCCCACCCCCTTTCTTTAGACAGGGTTTCACTACGTAGCCCTGGCAGTCCTGGAACTAACTGTGTAGACCAGCTTGGCCTCAAAGTCAAGGAAATCTGCTGGTCTGCCTCCAGAGTGCTGGGACTAAAGGTGCGCGCCACCACATCTGGCTTCTCTCTCTCCTTGAAGTCATCTGTATCTGGGCCTGGTTGTGCAGGCCCATGATTCCAACTACTCTGGAGAATGAGGCAGGAGGATTACAAATTCAAGGTCTGCCTGTGCAATTTAGTGAGACTCTGCCTCAAAATAAAAAAAAAAAATAAGAACAGCTGGGGTGATAGGTCAGAGGTTGATTGTTTACACAGCTGGTCTGAAGCGTGTTCAGTCCTCAGGGTTACAGAAAATAAAAGCACTCAAATTGTTAATAAGACCTGAAATAATATAAATGGCACATATCTTAGTCACTGTTCTATTGCTGTGAAGAGACGCCATGACCAAGGAGCTCTCATAAAAGAAGCATTTAATGACAGGCTTGCTTACAGCTTTAGAGGGTTAGTCCATTATTATCAGGGCAGGGAACATGGCGGCACACAGGCAGGCATGGTGCTGGAGTAGCTGATCTTCAGGCAGCAGGCAAAGAGAGACACTGGCCTGGCATTGGCTTTTGAAGCCTCAAAGCTCACCCTCACACACTTCCTCCAGCGAGGCCAATCCTAATACCTGACAGCTCATCAGCTGGGGCCTGAGTATCCAAATCTGTGAGCCTCTGGGGGCCATTCTCATTCAAATGACCAGAGCTTATAAATTGTATGTATACTGTGTTGTTCAGGGACCTATGACAAGAACAACCAGTAGTATATGTTCAGTAGATACTTCCCCCCACTTTGAAACAGGATCTCATGTGGCCCAGGCTGGCCTCGAACTCCATACATCTGAGGATAAGTTTGAACTTTTGATTCTCCTGCTTCTACCTCTTAAGTGCTGGGATTGCATCATATACCACCGATTCCAGTTTCTGTGGTGCCGGGTCTTAAATCTAGGACATATGTTTAGGCAACTGCACCAATGAGCTATATTACCAGCCCCTAGACACATCCTTTCCCCGAAATGTTTTCCATCTGTGATTGACTGGATTTGCAGATGTGGAACAACCCTGGTATATGGAGGTCCAACTGTAGTACTCAATCTAGCTACTAGATTCCTGGTGTAACTCCATAGGAAGTCAGTACAGTAGCATAATCCTCTGGGGAAGTTAAAAAGAATACAGGACCCATACAGACATAGATATTCTGAGTCAGGAGGCCTGGGGTCTTAGAGCCAATGCGGTAAGAATGTTCTGTGTCTGGAGTTCCCAGGCTTCCCCAGTATTAAAGTAGAGGGGACAATGAAACAGGTAGGCCAGGCCTCAGCACCTGCTTGTCTCACAGACCCCCTTCTGTTCTCCTGTGGTCGGTCACCCCACCCCAGGAGAGGACACACTGAAGAAGGAAAGCGTCGTTAAGTTACCTACAGTCTAGCTTGGTATGTGAGCAGTGTGGTAGGCAGTGGGCCATGTGTCCTGTGGAAGTGTACGACAGCCTGGGTGCTCCTGAGAAACATCTGAGGCCTCTAGGTCCTTTGCGATAGACACGGCCATGATGTTACTGTGCAGTTAGGTGCTGCCGGGGCAGGAGCCATAGCCTTGCAGCTCTGTGCCAGTTGGTGACTAGCTACAGTAGCAATCTGTTTGTCTTTTGAGACTGCAGTCACTAACCAGCTAGTCAGAGACCTACTTGGGGACTGTAGACCACAGCAGACTTGAGGAGCATGGAAGGGCGTTAACCAGCTTTGTTTTGGTTGGCTTACAAAATGAAGGACTGAGTATTTATCATCATTCTTTGAGTTATTTCCCAAATAATCAAAAGAATATATTCTTAAGTCAATGTAATGTTTTTTTTTTTTTTTTTTTTGGTATGTGAGAATGATAGATGAGTCTAAACTAATTTCATTTGTGGAATAAATGCCCTGTACTATATTCAGGATACCTATAAAATGTTTTTACAGTAAATGTCAGCTTTGTCTCTTCTTCTTTTGATTTTTTTTTGAGACAGGGTTTCTCTGCATGTCCTGTAGACCAGGCTGGCCTCAAACTCACAGAGATCTGCCTGCCTCTGCCTCCCAAGTGCTAGGATTATAGGCATGTGCCACCACTGCCCAGCTAGTCTCTTCATATTTTAATGAGAAATGTGTAATAACCTTTAAGTAAAGGAATATGGCTTATTAGTTAGTATTTACAATTAATACAGTGGTGTATACTTTATTGAGTCTTTTATGTTGACATGTATAAGTGGCTGAGACTATTATCTATCTATCTATCTATCTATCTATCTATCTATCTATCTATCTATCTATCTATCTATCTATCTATTTTGGTGCCAAAACACAGAAACAAGCACCGTTTAATTTTGCGTCCTCTCCATGGTGATCTGAGCCATCACTCTCTTCCTCCTCCTCCTCTTTTTGGTTTTGTTAGAAAGACGGTCTCACTATGTAGCCGAGGCTGGTCTCTATCTTTGGGCAGTCCTCTACATTGGCCTTCTTAGTTCTACTACCACAGAGTGAGTGTACCCCAGGTCCAGCAGATGCCATTACTGCGTTCTTAAATGTATCCACTGTAGAACTTCAGAGGCAGTCAGAGACCTCATACGGGCTTCAGTTACATGAAGTATACAAACATAAAAACACTTTTAACCATATAAATTACAAAACGTTTCTGTATTTTGTTTGTTTCGTTTTTTGAGGCAGGATTTCACTGTGTAGTCCTGGCTGGCTTGGAACTCACTGTGTAGTCCTGGCTGGCCTTGAACCTTTGCCTCCTGAGTGCTGGAATAAAAGACGTGCACCACTGCACCTGGCTTCTGCACTGTATTTTCGTTTGTCTGTCTGTCTGTCTGTTTGTTTGTTTGTTTATCGAGACAGGGTTTCTCTGTGTAGTTTTGGTGTCTGTCCTGGATCTTGCTCTGTAGACCAAGCTGGCCTTGAACTCACAGAGATCCACCTGCCTCTGCCTCCTGAGTGCTGGGATTAAAGGCGTGTGCCATGGCTGCCCGGCTCTGCACTGTATTTTTATTAAAAACCACTTGTATGTCACAAAACAGATCTGCGTCCAACTCATGGAATAGAGTGTGACTCCTGTGCTTGTATGAAAATCAGTATAAGTGTAGTTAATCGAAGTTTTAAATTTTATTTTTTTTCTTTGCAGATTGAATCCCTCTCTGGAACTTCTGAATGTTTTTTTTACTAGTGGGAACACTTTCTATACAGCAACGCTGATGGCTTAATTTTGGCAAGTGCTGGTGTGGCTTTGGTTCTGCTGTGCTTCGCGAAGCTTGAGTCTGAAGGATACAGGGCTTTCTGGGATGACAATATGACTCACAGTAAAGGAAGATCTGTCACTCACAAGACAAGTGGCAGTCCAGACACTGGAGGAGGCTTTGTAGACTGGACTTTAAATTTCAACACAATTCAGTCGGACAAGTTTTTAAACTTGCTTTTAAGCATGGTGCCAGTCATTTACCAGAAGAACCAGGAAGACAGGCATAAAAAATCAAATGGCATTTGGCAGGAAGGATTGTCAGGTGCAGCACAGACCTTCGGCAAGAGATCAGAGCCACATCTGGACTACCACGAGTTCTCGGAGCAGGCCTTCCACGGCGGCAGCGGGCACGCTCCAGCCAACTGCAGCCCCAAGTATGACGACTACGCCGGCTATAACTACTGTGATGGGAGGGAGGCTTCGGAAACCACCGCCATGCTACAGGACGAAGATCTGTCCAGTGAGGGCGATGATGTTATTGTGGAAACAAACCAGAAGCTACCGAGGGAGTCCAGCGGCATCATGGCTCTGCAGATTCTCGTGCCGTTCTTGCTGGCTGGGTTTGGAACAGTTTCTGCCGGCATGGTTTTGGACGTAGTACAGGTGAGTGTTCATCTTTAGGTTCATTGCGTGCGTGCGTGCGTGCGTACGTGTGTGTGTGTGTGTGTGTGTGTGTGTGTGTGTGTGTGTGCAAGCACGTACTCGAGCGCGTGCATGTGTGCTCACTCGTGTGCTTCCTTACATGCTTGCCACCTTGTTTTGTGAGGCAGGGCCTCTCACTTGTACCCGGAAGTTGCTGACTCAGCTGACAGCCAGTGAAGCTCCAAGGCCTGGCCTATTTTGGCCTCCTCTGCATTGGGATTATGTCTGTGCCACCATGCTTGGCTTTCTGGGTTTTTTTTAATTAATTAATTGATTGATTGATTAAATAATTTGAAACAGGAATTTCCACATCACCTTGCCTATCCTGGATGGACCAGGCTGGCCTTGAACTAACGGAGATCCAATTGCCTCTGCTTCCTAAGTGCTGGGATTACAGGCGTGTGCTATCACTCCCAAGTGGCTTTCTTTTTTAAAACATAGGTTCTGAGGATTGAATCTAGGTTCTTATGCTTACTCATTCCAACCCCTTCCTCCCCTCCCTCCCTACCTCTCTCCCCTCCCCTCCCCTCTCCTCCCTTCTTCCCTCCTTTCTCTTTTCCTCTCTTCCTTCATCGCTTCCCTCTTTCAATGAGTCTCACTCTCTAGCTTTCATTGGCCTTGAACTTACAGTCTTTCCTGCCTTAGGCCCCCCGACCTGGGGTTAGAGGTGTGTGCCCACATCTGGTTGACTTCACGTATTTTTATTCAAATGCTTGACATGTCTCAAACATTTATCTTTGCAGCGCTGAGATGGGAGCATCGTGTGGTAGGAGCCTGAGCGACATCCCCAGCATTCAAATGTTATTTTAGATTTAATTTGTTCCTTTGTGAAGTGAGTGACCTGAGAACTCTATCTCTGCTAACTTCTCTTTTAGAAGTTAAAAAACAAAAACAAAACATTGTCTTTTTTTTCCCATGCTGTGGATTGAACCCACATTCCAAAGAAAGTAACTCTTTATTACAAACCCCAAAATAAACCAAGTAAAAGAAAAGCCCAGTAAGCAAGCAGTATGTTGAAATATTCTGTTTTAAAATAAAAAACTTCCACATGCTCATTAAAGTGTGTTCAAACAATGTAGTGCTAAAATAAAGACTAACTTCTGTTCCCCATCTCCACATCCAAAATGCTCCTCTCTTTGTCTTCATCTTCCTCCTCCACCACCTCCTCCTCCACCTCCTCCTCCTCCTCCACCTCCTCCTCCACCTTCACTTCCTCCTCCTCCACCTTCACTTCCTCCTCCTCCACCTTCACTTCCTCCTCCTCCACCTCCTCCTCCTCCGCCTCCTCCATTTGTGTGTGGTGCTGGAGATAGTGCCCAGGGCCTATATGTCAGGCAGGTCTTGACTCCTGCTCCCAGTGACTGAGACACGTTTACACTTGTACTTGCTGTGTGTGTGCATATGGTGCTAATGTGGAGGTCAGAGGAAAACTTACAGGGGTTGGCTCTCCCCTTCTCTGAGGGGTCTGGGGTAGAACTTGGGTACTTGGGCTTGTCGACAAGTGCCTTGACCCACCCAGCCGGTGCTTTTCACATGTCCGTACTAGCTTTGAACGCCAGATGGATTCCCACCAGGGTCTGAGGAAGATGGATGGGATGTCTGACTTGCTAGGTCCCAGGTCTTCTTTTATTTGGAGCAACCCCCAGAGCGACCTTACAGGCAAACAGCGGGGTCTGGTTTCCCTGCTTAGCTGATGGATTTCTTCTGCCTTTCTCACCTGTTACCAGTGACAAAGACCTGGTCTTTCTGCCCTGAGTAGATATGCCAGTTCATGAAGTCTCCTGCTGGATAATCCCATTTTAATTGCATCTGTAAAATACCCCTCCGTGTTATTAAGCAGTTATGTGATCTTTTCAGTTTAGGAAGCAATTTTGTATCTGTTAACTTTATGGTGTTTTTCTTTCCTTTTTTTTTTAAATTTATTTTTTTAATTACAGTCATGATATTCATTAATTACACTCATGATATTACATTTGTGGTATTCATTGATTAAACTCACATTATTCATTCAATGACTGTATTTATGATATTCATTAATTACATTAATTGTATTGATTTATTACATTCATGATATTATGCCCTGATAGTACGTTCCATTTGTGGGGTTTTTCCATCACACAAAACAGATTCTATACTCAGGAAATCATTGTTCCATATTTATGGTGTTTTTCTGAGGCCATTTATTGCTATCTTCATTTCATAGATGGAAATGGTGACATCTCTGAGATCCGACTCCTCCAGGATCTCAGGCAGCTGTGACAGGTCCATCCCTAGAGGCATGAGTTTTGTTTCACCGGGCATGGTGACACACCAGGGGGAGCTGAGTCAGGAGCATCACGGCCTGAGAGCAGCCTGTTCCATTGTATAGGGAGTTGAGGACAGCCGGAGCTACAGAGTGACGCCTTGTGTTAAAAGACACAGTTCCAGTTCAGTGGTGGTTTTATGATCCTGTGTTACACTACCCTTAGCTTCTTACTTTAAAATGAGGACCAGAACCTAGGACTATGAGTTGCTTCAGATGTTAACTTTCAGTGTTTTCTTTCTTTCTTTTTTCTTTTTCCTTCCTTCCTTCCTTTTTTCTTTTTGACCTTGGGAATGTCACTATACCTCTTGGAATTTTTCTCTCCTCATCTGTAAACTTAATAACAACAGTGTAATTTTCTTGCGACATTGTTCTAAGTAGTGCTGGAACCCAGACTCAATTCCAGATGACCCAGTCCCATAGCCTGAGCCCTTAACCATTAGCTACATGGGCTCTGTCACCATGAAATGATAAAGTAACTGGGAACGGTGGTACATGTCTGGCATCTAGCATTTGTGAAACAGAGGCATGAGGATCACAAACTTAAGGCTGGGCTACAGTTAATGGCCAGCCTGAGCGTCTTAAAAACTCAAGGGTTGGTATGTGGCTCAGTGGTAGAGTGCTTGCCTAGTATGTGATAGGCTGTGGACTCCTCCATCTTGAGTACTGCCAATAAACGAAAAAAGTATGACACAGTAACTCTTAGGAGCCTCAGGGTTAGTGGTAGTTATTAGTGTTACTTGTAGAATGGGATTGAGTGATGATAGATGTTGTGCCAACACCAACCAAATCTTCTCAAGTCACTCCGATCCTGACCTCAGGAGGGTACATGTTCGTGATTTAGATAACCCGTGCTGCCCTTTAAAACATGGAAGCAGAGCCAGGTGAGGTGGTGCACACCTCAATCCCAGCACTCAGGAGGCAGAGGCAGGCAGGTCTCTGAGTTTCAGGCCAACCAGGGCCACGTGGTGAGACCCTGTCTCAATTGCAGTGATGGCAACAACAAGAAATGAGATGCAAAGTTGGAAATAAACCCTGGGGTCTTTAGAACTGTTCTTGTTCTGATGAGTGGTTGTTTTCTTTGTTCCACAGCACTGGGAGGTGTTCAAGAACGTGACTGAAGTCTTCATCTTAGTCCCTGCACTTCTTGGTCTCAAAGGGAACTTGGAAATGACACTGGCTTCTCGGTTATCCACTGCGGTAAGGTTTCCCTACTTCCTAGCACGTGTATTACTTATTCCTCTCTCCTTAGAAGAGCCTGTGTGGTAAGCGGGTTGTTTTCTCTGTCTGGTAAGTCTCTGGACCTCAGAGTTGTGCCCTGAAAATTCTTGGGGTTCTCTCCTCTGAGAATATCGGCCTGCTTTCCCTTATCGCCAGAAGCAGCAATATGTCTGCCTCCTTTGATGCCAGGCCATGCTGGCAGCTTTGATTAGTGTGCAATGCATGGAGTGGTCAAATTCTGAGAGTGTATATGGGCGTGTGGTTGGTAGAGTTGAAAATAGAGCTGGAATCCTATGTGTTCTCTTCTATAATCTCACAGATTAAATATATTGTGCTTTTTTTCCCAGATAGGGTCTCAAATTTACTATATAGACCAGGCTGGCCCTGAACTCACAGAGATCCTCCTGCCTCTGCCTCCTAAGTGCTGGGATTAAAGGCATGTGCCAACGTGTACATGGCTATATCCTTTTATAGTCTATAACCCTGACGTTGATTTGTCATCCGTTATTGGATGTGTAAACACTTTCTAATGGCCTGTCATTGTAGAAAGATATGATGGGAGCTGGAGAAATGGCTCAGGGTGAGAGCACCTACTTGTGTGGGACCAGATTTCAGTTCTTACCACAGGGAGACAACCATCCATGACTCCAGTTCCAGGAGATCCAATGCCCTCTCCTGGCCTCAGGCACCAAGCATGTGGTATGCATACTTGAGGCAAGCACTCACAAGTAAATAAGTAATGCTGAATATTCTTTCTTTTTTCTTTTTCTTTCCTTTTTTTTCTCTTTCCTCTCTTCTCCTCTCCTCTCTGTCTCTGTCTCTGAGCTAGGGTATCATTCTATAGCTCTGGCTGGCCTGGAACTCATTATTATGTACTCCAAACTGGTCTTAAACTCCAGAGATCTTCCTGCCTCTGCCTCCCAAGTGCTAGGATTGAAGGTATGCACCACCACACCTGGCATGACCATTAATATATGAGAATGACGGTGCATGCATGTATAAAATTGACATAAATCTGAAGTAAAAAATAAGGTAGAACAGATCAGTTGTTAGATGCTGATTTATCTAGTGGTTTACTTAAAGCACAGCTTATACTGCCCATTTGCCAAGCATGACTTCACTTGCTACCTGAAACAGAATGACTGGACAATGGTTATTTGCCCTTAACAACCTGCTGACCGCCATGTACCCTTCTGTAAAATCTTGCTTGCCTGCCCTACCTTGTGGTTTTGTGTATAACATGAGACTACAAACCCGACCTGGGATTGAAGCCTTTCTGGAACTGCCCTGGGTCGGTCCACTGGTGACGACATCTCCTCTCTTTCATTCTCATTGGTGCTGAGGTGCTTATTCCAAAGATCCCCGTAACATCATTTCAGACATCCATAGAGGAATGAAGACAATAAAGGCAGGTGAAGGGTAATTTAGGAGGGCAGCCGTAGGTCACGTCTATAGAGATCACTGATCTATATACAGAGCTCATCCTTCTGAGAGGATGATGTGAATCAGTAATATCAGGATCTGAGTGGAGAAGACAATTCTGCAAACCTCATTTAATCGGTGTAATAATGTCAATGGATTTTTTTTATTAAAAATTTTATGTGTAAATATTTTGCTTGAATGTATACATGTGCAACATGTGTATGCAGTGCCCCCAGAGGCCAGAAGAGGGCATCAGCTTCCTTGGAACTGCCGTTACAGATGGTTGTGAGCAGCTTCTTAGGAGCTGGGATTGAACCTGCTTTCTCTGCAGGAGCAACAAGTGCTCTTAACTGCAGAGGCGTCTCTCCAGCCCCAGGGTCAACTCTTCATAAGCATTCTCCACAGATCTTCTTTGTTGTTTTGATATGGTTTTCAGACAGGGTCTCTACATAGCCCTGGCTGTCCTGGAACTCGCTGTGTAGACCAGGATGCCCTCAAACTCGCAGAGATCTACCTGTCTCTGCCTCCTGAGTACTGGTATTACAGATGTGCTCAATCATGCCCAGCTTAGCTATGGTTTCTTGAACAGTTGGGCTTGGAGCAAGCATACAATGGAGTTTTATATGGCATTTATTTACATAGTTTAAGATTAAATAAACTTGAAAACTTTAAAAATTTTATTCTTTTTTGTTGTTGTTGTTGTTGTTGTTGTTTTTTTCAAGACAGGGTTTCTCTGTATAGCCCTGGCTGTCCTGAAACTCACTCTGTAGACCAGGCTGGCCTAGAACTCAGAGATTCACCTGCCTCTGCCTTCCAATTGCTGGGCACAAGGGCATGCGCCACCACCACCTGGGAATAAATTTTCTCTTAAGATCTGAAAGCCCAACCTAACATTTAGAATTCATGATTTTCCTGGGTTCTGTTCTGGAACATAGTATTGTGGAGAGAGCCAGACCCTGGTCCAAGGTTTTTGTCTCTTCCACTCCCACCTTCGGGTTTCTGGTCACACTTGGAAAACCCTGAAATCATAGCATTCAGGAAGCTAAGGCCTGGGGGGATTGTCGTGAGTTTAAGGCCTGTGAGGGCTGCACAGAAAGACCTTCTCACAAAACAAAATACTCCCAAGGGGCTAGACGGATGGCTCAGGAGTTAAGAGTACTTGTTGCTCTTACAGAGGACCTGCTTTTGATTCCCAGCACCAACATGGTGGTTTATAATCATCTAACTCCAGTTCCAGGGGATCTGGCACCCTCTCTGACCTCTGAGAGCATACGTGTGGTACATATGTGTATGCACAGGCTGCCTTAGTCAGTGTTTTGTTGCTGTGAAGACACACCATGACCAAGACAACTATTATAAGAGAAAGCATTTAACTGAGGGCTTGCTTATAGTTTCAGAGGTTCAGTCCATTACCATCATGATGGGGAGTTTGGTGGCATGCAGACAGGTGCTGGAGTGCTAGCTGAGAGCTACGACCTGATCCATAGATAGAGACTGAGCTTATCATGGGCTTTTGAAACCTCAGAGCCCACCCCCGGTGATATACTTCCTCTAATGAGGCCACATCTCTTAAGCCTTTACTCCTTTCAAATAATGCCACTCCCTGGTGACTAAGCATTCAAATATATGAGTCTGTGAGGCCATTCTTTTGTTTTGTTTTGGTTTGGTTTGGTTTTGGTTTTTTTGAGACAGGGTTTCTCTGTGTAGTTTTGGTGCCTGTCCTGGATCTCGCTCTATAGACCAGGCTGCCTTGAACTCACAGAGATCGCCTGGCTCTGCCTCCCGAGTGCTGGGACTAAAGGTGTGCACCACCACCACTTGGCCTATGGGGCCATTCTTATTCAAACCACCACACAGGCAAAATACTTTTACACATAAAATAAATAAAATCTAAAAGCAAGACAAAAGAAAGAAACAATAACAGCCAAACCCCAAGGAGGCGGAGCTAGGCTCGGTGGTGGGTGCCTGTGAGACTTAGGAGGTTGAAGCAGGAGGAACATGTGTCTCAAGGTGGCCAGGGCTATGTGAGAAATCAGTCCAGCTGGATTACATCATCAGATCCTGTCTCATGATATAAAACCAAGCAACCAACCAGGCGTGGTGGCTTATGCCTTTAATACCAGCCCTCAGGAGACAGAGGCAGGTGGATTTTATGAGTTCAAAGCTAGCCTGGTCTACATAGATGTTCCAGGACAGCCAGAACTACATCCTGAGACCCTGTCTCAAAAAAAGGGAAGAAAGGGAGGAAAACCAGGCAATCCCTCCACACCCCTCACCACAATGGCAGTAGAAAACCAATGTGGAAGAAAAGCTGTACATTTAAAAGGATGATCCTTAATATTCTACCCTGTAAAACAGTGCAAGTATGATAGCACTTGCTAGTAGCCAGTCACTGCCCACAGAGAAAGTGGTTATTTTTCTGGAAACTTCTGGAGTAACCAAAGGTGCTTGGAAGACGATGAGTGTTTCTTCCATGGCGTACGACAATTAAAGTCTCTTATCCACTTTTGAAAAGACTCCGAAACTGGCCTGGTGCTGCCATGTGGGTGGAAACTCATTCTTTTCCTCCCCTTCTGTTTCTGTGTTGTATTTTCAAACCCAAGGTTTAAGGATACATTTTTCTCAAGTGATGATGTAATACAATAAATGCATTTACAACTCTTAAAATTAAAAATAAGGGGCTGGAGAGAGATGGCCCAGTGGTTAAGAGCACTGACTGCTCTTCCAGAGGACCCGGGTTCAATTCCCAGCACCCACATGGCAGTTAACAACTATCTATAACTCCAAGATCTGATACCCTCACACAGACTTACATGCAGGCAAAACAAATAAAATTTAAAAAATTAAAAAATAAGTTCCAGGGCTGGAAAGGTAGCCCAGTGTGCAGAATACCTGCCTTGCAAGTGTATGGATCTGTGTGGGGTCCAGAACCTGGTTTTTAAAAGCCAGATGTGGCGGTGCACGTGTGTAACCCCAGGACTGGGGAGACAGAGACAGGGGAACCCCCGAGACTTGCTGGCTAGTCAGCTGGGTGTGTTTGGTCAACTGCGTTGACACCTGGGGAACGACATCTGAAGTTGTTGTGCCCTGGCCTCTGCGAGCATGTACACACAACGGGCATGTGCACCTGCACACACAAAAGTCCATGCATACACCACACACACATGCATACATACACACACACACACACACACACACACACACACATATGATTTCTTTAACCAATCTAATAATGAAATTTTGATAAATGCTTACAATTTAAATTTCATGGTCATTCATTACTCCAGCACCTCATTATTTAATAGTGACATTGACTGACATGCTGAATTTGGGTTTTACCCCTTGGTCATTTGGCATCCAGATGGAATGTGTGTTGGTTATACCCTGGCCTTTGCCTTTAAGAGGAAAAACAAAAAGCATGTATGGTTTTTACTGTGGTTTTGAGGAAGAACATGAGGATTGCTGAGACCCGAATCCAGGAGGTGCCTTCCAGAAGTAACCGAGGAGAGGTCTTGAACAACCCGAGTGTAAGCATTTGAGGAGGACAAATGTTACTG